CATAGAAGCTGTTTATGGGCTGGACAAAACTGCAATCAGCCTTGTGTTATGTGGCACTGCTCTCCCTGTATACAGAGGAGCAGGAGTGCAGCCACATTGCTCAAAGCTGGTGGGAGGTTGATGGAATCAGTATATACTTGCCACGCCACTCTCAGCTTTTAGTGTAGTACCACGCTCATCTTGTGACGGTGCTGCACACGGTTTTGACGCATGTCATATATTTTTTTTATATTTTTCACAGAACAAGTGGCAGCAGAACCAGCTCCTGTGATGCAGAGCGTGTGCCACGCAGGTGCAGCCTTGGATGCTGCAGCTGCATTACCTGCAACCTGGAGCAGCTCATACGGTCGGACCTGCATCCGCTGAGGCAGCTGCTAAAGCACCCACTGAAGCGGATCCATTTCAGCTCCTAAACTTCCTACATTGTGATATGGTAAGTTGATTTGGTAATTGTTGGCTGTATAGGAGATACCTCTGGATAGAAAGCATTTCTATGCTTACACAATGTCTTCATGATGAAAAGGCCACGGCAATTTGTCATTGACCATGTACATCTTGATAAATGTTGCTCAAATGAGATTTCTCAGCACCACCGTCACAATGTTTTTTTTGTTTGGTGTTGCATCACTTCACCAGCAGTGGTGTTAGACTCAAGCTTATAATGTCTTGAAATATACATCTAAGGCGACATCTCTTTGTTGAAGGTTTAGACCTGCATCTCTAACATACTGTTCAACATTCTGAGTGCATAAAGCAGAAAGACTTGAAGCGTCACATTCCCCATTAATTACCTATGGCCCATACAATAAACCCTTTCAGAAGTGTGTGCATGTCCAAGGCCGCCATTTCTTAAACGCGGATCCCGAGTACGCATAGCAAACAAGCGCCGCGTCAGTGATTGGCGTGGATAGACGTGAGTGCAACGTCAGCGTTCCACGTTGACTTCGATCCAATCACAGCTTTCGTGTCCAAGAAATGGAGGCCATCAAAGTCGCTCGCTTAGGTTTGAAAAGGGTCTGCTCTGCCTATGTTCACCAGGTACATGGGAATGAAATTCCAGGAATCTTGGAGCATAGAGTGGCCTCTTTTCTTTTCAGCAGTTAGTTTTATAGTCCCAGCCACGCTTGAGGTTGCATAAGCACAGGTGAAAAAGTGGCACGCGTTAAACCGGCAGCCGAAATCAGTGGGCGCATTTCCTCATGTTCTCCATCCATCGCACCGACCGAAAAGTTCAGGGGGTGGGGAGGGCAGGGGGATCATGGAACACCATCTAAGGAGCTGGGCTAGGAGGCAAAGAGTGCTGGAAAGGGAAGAGCGAAATCACAAGGCGTACGGTCAGCCAGTGTTTTCTGGGCTGGCCAAATAATCTTCGCCAGCAGCCGACGCTACAAGAGGGCAATTGCCACTCAGTGCCCCTTGCAGTTCGACAGCGGCATAATCAGGAGACGTAACAAAGAGCTCAATAGCTCAATAGCTCGAGCAGCGTAGTACTGTTGTTTGGGCGCTTCCCAGGACGTTTGAAAATGATTCGATTAAAAAAACGGGTTAAACTAACGAAAGCTTACTTTAATCAATATACTCGAAGCAGCATTCCACGAAAAGAAGATCTCACCATTAAATACAACGGTTTTTCCTCCTCTTTTAATTTTTTTATAGATACATTTCTACGACATTGATGTCAAGGTGACATGGAAAGCCTGGGGTGACAGCATAGTGAACCAGGACATAACCTGGTCATTGCTCTGTGGGGGTGCAGTGTCCTTCTGCAGAGAACTTTGACCGAAGTGGTGTCGAATGTCAGCCTCGACAAGGACAGCAGGCCGGCTTTGACTCCCAAGAAGGGTTTATTGAAGAAGGGGTCCCAAGAAGGTCTCCTAAGAGGCGAGTGAAAATTACCTCAGGTAATCGTAACCTAAGCAGTTATTTTAAAAATCTTCTCAATCAAGTCATTATCTTCGCGGCTAGTTGGTATGATGCTGGGAGTTCGCAATGTTTCGGTGGTCTTTGGAAGGACCGCGTAAAACTGACTGGATTGAGCACACAGGTGTTGCATAGTGGTGGAAGTTTTCAGTAAAATTGTGGGAAGATTAGGTACCCCCAGTAAAACACAAAAGCTTTATTTTTTATACTTTACATGCAAACACCAATTTTTTTGTGCCACTGGCCTTTATTTTGGCTGTATGAAGTGAGAAATGCGTAGGGCATATCCTTTTTATTCCGGTCATTTGCAGTTGCAGTACATGCCACAGTGACCCTGAAAGATAACTGATGTCTTAATCAAAAAAAAAAAAAGGCTCTGCGAAATTTTTTTTTTGTTGGAAAAAAATTTTCTTCTTTCTTCTTCTTTATGTCCTGATCTTTGAAATGCTGAAGCCACCACTTTCAGGCATGCCCTTGTAATAAATAAATCATAGCGCAATATGCCCATTTATCTGGTCTCTTCGATGTGCCCATGGAACAATGTGAACTCCCAGCACGTACTGTGACACATTACTGTACCGTAGAATACCGCGCATCCGCCCATTCCACATTAAGCGCCCATCCCCAATTTTGTAAGATCTAAGAAAATACACAGAGTACATTTATATGTAAAATTGATGACCGGACAAGCGTCCATCCCCCATTTTTTGTGATTATCTCTGAAGTTTAAGTGGGCGCTTGCCCGATATTTTACGGTAGCTCTAAGTGCTTGTCATGCTGCGGCAAATAAAAGAAGGGTTATAATATGTGATATATATTACTACTCTCAATGACTGGTAGAATGATTGAACACTCTTAATCACTTTCTCTAAACTGAATTCAGCATCAGCAGTGTACTTATTTTTTAATGGTTTGATCTTGGCTTGCTCAAAGACTAGACAGGAGAGGGGCACAACCCATTGGACCACGAATATCCGAGGGACATCCGGTTTAGATCCGAACGTCCATGACCCCAACGACCGAAACGGGACGTCCAAGGGACCAACGCGGGACGTGTATTTCAGGTTATAAAGAACGTCCATTTTCTCTGCCCCTATGGATGTCCTCTAGGTGTCCGCTTTGCCGATAGATCCCGGGCATGATATCCTCTGGACGTCCATTGTAACACAACATAAATCACTTCGATTAGAGGGTCTAGGATAGTGCATTCCAAAAGCCACAGCAGCACTGAGCAACCGGAAAGGCCCCAAGTTTCAAAAACGAACGAGAAGACAGCGAGTGTGCACGCAAGCAAGAGTAGCGCAATCTAGAACGCCGTCTCTCGGCGACTGGCGGCGAACGCCCGGAGGTTCCAACTGCGGTCAGAAATGCATGGAGAACGTGAGAAAATCGTCGTTTCTTCAGTTTTGTGGGGATGTGCGGAATGGAAATCATTTTTGACATAATAATGAAACATTTTAGAATAATATGCGATAAGTTTTGTGCCATACAAGGACGTAACTTTTTTTAAAAAATTGCCTGAGCGGCATCATGCAGCAGACGACACGGCGACGTCACACCATTCACGTGACCCGCTCCGGCCAACCCGAAAAGCCCATCTCCGCTGCGAGCAAAAATCGTCTGCTTCAAACGCCATTGCCTTGGAAATTGCCTTCTCAAACTTTGCACACGCATCCGATATTATTGAAACTTTGATAAAGTGTTTAGCGCTTTACTAACTTCAAGACAGGCTAGTTTTGAAAAATGTGAACTCGCCGTTAGTTTTTTAATCAGCCATGTTATGTCGAACTCCATGTATTCTCCCATAGGGCGGGCCGCCTCCTGGAACCCTGAGTACCACGTGACTCGCGCCGAGCCGCTCTGTCGGCCATGTTGTCGGCAAAACACGGAGTTCAAAGGATTGCGCTACTCTGCTCCTATCGTGTCGAATAAAGCCTCTGCGCTCGCAGCATGCAGTCTCAGGTGTTGAAGTTGCCTCCCATGGCTTTCTTTACCTTCGGTTTCAGATTTTCGTACCCTAAACTTATTAATTTAATGATGATGCGTCGTGTTTTCATCCCGTGTGATTTTTTTGTTTTGTTTTTGGAGTTATTTGCTGGAGAGGCTGCTAGATTGCCATCGTCATCAATCCTGTTTTTCCACCGCCGGCTCTGTAGCTAGTGCGCGCGTGAACGTTTTGGCGGTTTTTCCACTTCTGGTTTCGTCGTCTCGGAAATAAGGTGAGTACCTCATTGTATTCATTTAGTCCGGTATGTATCCTATTTACGTACGAATTCGGCTATACCGCCATTGTGTACTGAGGCATGTCGTAGCGTAGTAGCCCGCGTTGACAGTACTGTGCCACCATGCCTGGATCACGGCCGGCATACGCCTGCGAGAAAGCCTCCCGAGAAACAAGAATAACTTTAGCGCTTCTTGAGAATGCCAGCAAGGACATACAGGAGGCCGAGTGCAACCCCAGTGAAAGTCGTCTCGAGCAACGTAGCACGCCTGCCGCTGCTGAACATGCCCGCGGATCCTCGCGGGGGATCCGGGGGCATGTTCCGCGGATCCCCCGCGGGCACCAGGTCAAAGGGGAGGATCCGCGGGCGCCAGGCCAAAGGGGACAGGATAATTGTGATGGTGAAAATAGCAGTGCCACCAGATGCGTCGTGGAAACGATTTGCTGTGGCGATGAAAGGGTTATTCGGTATGGACAATTTTATAATGTGGTGTGGTGCAAGAAAGATACGGATGCTTGTCCTTTCAGCAACGTACGAGCAGGCACGGAAGAAGCTGGAGCGTAGCCAATACACATCGGAACTAAGCAGCGACTCAGATAGGCCGCAAGGCAAGAGGATGCGGAGGCCACCGCCCCAGTGGTCGCAGTCTGACGAGGAACCAGTCCGACACAAGCCAACAAAGGCAACCCCCCCCCCACCAAAAAAAAAAAAAAAAGCCCGCAGTACCGGCAGATTTTTTTCAAGGTGATTTGCTAAAAATTTCATCCTGTCTCGCGTTACATAAGACAGCCCTGAATGTAGGGATAACTTGTTGCAACCAATGCATTGTTGAACACTTCTTTCCCAGGCCTGTTCACTGCTACATCAAAGGAGGGAAGCAGTTCTGCAGGAAGACAAAGTAAGTGAGCTTCCTCATGCTTGGCTCACATGTGGCTCATATCGAGGCATCACGGTGATGCTCTACACTGCACCACTGCTCCTAGCCAGTGTCTTGGCAGTAGTAGTCTTTACTATGATTCCTCCTACCAGTTTTGAAAAAAAAAAAGCTTCCTGGAAGCCTGAGAGTGGCGGTCAAGTGCGAGGCTTCAGGAGGTTCTTTTTCAAGTTCTTTCTTCCAGCTCCAGTACCCATCATGATTTGTTGACACTCCCACAGGTTTGTCGCGTCAGAACCGAGGTTGGTACTTGAACTTAAGTTAAGCTGCCGATTTCTAAATCTTTCTGTTCTGCTTTTGGTATCCTTCAGGCTCCAGTGTGCCGGACGACCTGGGAAATTTTGCTCCCGAGATTTGTGTGCAAGGTAAATTCTTAAAAAAAAAAATTTTTTTAAGTAAATTAAGGCACTTATTATATCTGCTGCAATTGAGTTTATCCACAAACACATTTCTAGGGTAGGAAAAAATGTTATAAGGTTTTCTTTGTTAAAATTCAGATATGCACAGGATTGAGCAAGCGATTACTTTCAACTATTTTTGTATGCTTTGCAGGTAGCAGCCACTCGCAAGCGCCCTCAGATTCCTCCGAGAACTGCAGCATTTTAGACAGGTAAGCATTTTAGTAATTGTATAGTAATAATGAGATTATCAAAAATTTAATAACCTAGGGAAAACTTGTGCTATTACTGTCATTTCATACACAGCGATAGTCCTATTAGGAATTGTAGCTATATGTTGTGTTCTATCGAACACTGCGGGTCTGTGTTGCCATTTAGTATACATATGGACGCTCGCAAACATGAACAAGCACCGGTGCTGCTAGTCTCAACTTCTTTTTCTACAAAAGCTCTCTCTTTTTACTAAAATATCCATCGCTATATATACCGGTGCGTAGCTAAGATGAGGAATTTTGCTCATAAAAATGTAATGCACTGTAATCAAGAATTAAGCTGTCTCATATCAAGGGAAGTTTACTGTACACAGGTTACATATTTTCAACCTCCTATTGAACAACCTAAATGAATTATGATGTTTTGTGAGGGCGTATAATGCATACCATATTTTTATTATTTTTGTGCACTCCTTTCTGGTTAACTATTGTACTATGTTTGGGCAGTACTTTTTTTTTTGTATAGGAGATAAAATGTACTCCCCTTTATTTTTGAATTTCTAGAGTCGGATTGAGAGGCCTTGCAGCACTTCCGACGCTGGAACACTGTCATCAGCAAGGAGCAGAGTGCCAGCGGGGAGTAGGAGGTCAAAACAGCTTTCTTTTGTAGGCGTCTGAGGTTTCGCTTGCATACTTTATACATATCAGACCACAGCAGTTTGTTTTGAAGTTCATTATGGCAGGCCTTTTGTATGTGCATTTGTTTTCTCTTTCATACTTGCATTTCACTGCCTGTGAACATCGTTTCTGTGCTCTTGTGGATTTGCACCACAATATATTTTCGCACATCTGATTTCAGGCGGAGTGACTTTTTTTTGAAGGTGTACAAGTTTTTGCTGTGCTTTTTTTTTTCACAAAAAAAGGTTTTTTAAGGAAGTTACATATAGTGCGGTGCACCTTTCAGTGGTTATAGTAATGTTAATGTTATGTTGTTATAGTAAAACGACTGTGATCCACTGTGCATCCCAGCTGAGGTGTTGTTTTTGAAGTTGTCTTTGATGACAGGTGAAATAGATTTTAATAGAAAATTTAAAGACTTTTGGTTTGAATTTTTGTAAAGAAATGTGTTCTTCCTTACACTTAGCATAACATTCATCAAGATTGTAATGCTTGTATGTTGTCGAAAGGGCCCACCTGGGACACAGCATAAGTGATAAAACGTTGCCTCTCAAAAAAAGTGGTGATGTGTTCTTTCTAACTGTGTCATAGTATGTACTTATACTTAACATTTATGTGTAATTCGTGCCACTTGTTAAACTTGCCTGTGAATCCTCTCAGGAAAGCTCTTGATTAGGAATTCATTATATTTTTCCTTTACCCGAGCATTCAAAATGACCAAGATGCTGCTAAATCAAGGTGCTCCTCTTGGAATTACCCTTTCCTGTGCATGTCAGAGGTTTCGTGAACCATATATTTTCTCACTATACCCACATCTATTTCTGGAAAGAGTACATCCTGTCATGCCTGTGGCAACCAGTCATTTTGGTTTAGAGGGAAACCCTGCAAATAGAGGTCCATAAATGTTGTGACTCGGAATGGTGAAATGTGCTTAGATGGTGAGCATGTTAATGTTATGCTCGCTTTTCCTGCACAGCTTGTTAATGTAGCTCGGTTGTATCCTGGCCTTCTCATTTGCTAGTCTCTCTTAAGCCACTGCAAAGAATCAACTTTTTTTAAAACAGCTTAGTTATAGGATTTGCATCCCACGTGACACAACGCATCGCCTCCCATCTCCCCCCCCCCCCCTCCTCAAAAAAAAAAAATTTAAGAAACATTAATTGCATGGTACTGATTTGAGTTTTTCCAAAACTGGCCCTTAGACACATTGAAGTCCTTTTTCGAGAGAACTCAAATGAGTCTCATGTCTTTAATATTGCTTCTTGGGGTATAGATCGTAATCAGGCTGCGTAAAAAAAAAGCTTTGTTTTCTTTTCAATGCCCTTTTAAAGCCACTATAACTTGTTGCTGCATCAACTGCAGAAAACTGGAAGAACAGACATTTTTAAGAAATAAATGTGGGAAAACACGAGAAAATATGGCTAACGAAAGTTCTGGCATGCATAGGGAAAGGCATTTTGAAGGGAGCATCCTGACCGGTACGGTCCAGGTGAGCTCCAGTTCGGATAAAAAAAGGATGTCCCGTGGATGTCCGTTATCCATAAAAGGTTATTCTTTGGACATCCGGTGGATATTTTAACGGGGAATGTCTCTTTCTGATCATCCGAGGGACGTCCGAAAGTCCGACTTGGATGTACGTGGGATGTCACCTGGATGAACAATTTCTTTGCACAGGCCCATCCTATGGACGTCCCCAGTACGTCCCTAGGATTTCTGCGGATATCCTACGGACGTGCCAATGTTCATTGCCGAATGTCCACCGGATGTTCCTTGGATATCTATTGTCCAATGGGAATATGCCGGGTCTGATACACGCAGCCCGCCTGGCGTTTGCTAGCGGCCCGCGCAGTCAGGCATAAGTGAAAAACAAATTGCATTTAGCACTTTTTTCTAGGGAAAGGGCCAAGGACCTTCTTTTTGGTTGTGGAAAACGGTGACGTGGTGACGGTATCTTTCATGAGCCCGATACTTGTCGAAACCAGGAACTGGACGTAAAAAGCTTTCAAATGGCGATGATTGCTAATTGCTATACAGTCAAACCCGCTTATATCGAACTCGCAAAAAAAGTCTACCAGTTCGATATAGAGGGTAATTCTACATGAAAGTTTGAATGAATCTGACAACAAAGAAACACGATATATTTAGAAAAGTTGTTTAGTCTCGAAGGAGCGTCTGTACGTTATGAGGGACGCTCCACGTGGCTATTCAGTGGCCGCTTCTTCGCTTTTTCAAGGTTTCACCGGCTCATCCTCTCCCCCACTTCCCGGCCGTCAACGCGGTTGCCCCCAAAAAATAAAAAGCCAGCTTTCTCTGCAAGCTGCCTTCCCATCAATGGGTTGCGCGCATTGGGGGAAAGCCAGCTTCCAGAGCTAAACGGCGCTCTTGGCAGTTCGATCTATCGGGAGACGCTGCAATGTTCGTTCAATGTAACCACATTTTTTGCTATGCATTTATATTGCAGCTACTAGTCTGTTCTCAAAGAGTCTGATAGAAGGGATAGTTCTATATAATCGGGTTTAACATTATACAGGGTGTGCCATTTTAATTCGAACATATTTTTTTTAGAAAAGGGGGCGAGAGTTACGTGGATGCCGTTTTCACCGTGTATTAGTGGGGCTCGGCGGACATAGATAAGCGGATAACTCTCACAATATCTTGACTAATTAACCAAGATTTGTTAATTAACTTTTTAATTATTAATTTTATAGGGCATGTCGCAATTGCAATTTTCAGGTGCGTCATTATTAAAGGCTATTAAAAATGAAACTGTTCATGACAGTGATGTGGCATGTGATTTAAATGAACATTTGGTTAAGCCTTACGGCTACAAGCTGTGCTCCTTTAAATATTTAGTAATCGCATAATTTTCAGAATGCCTAATGATGAAGCTCTGTGGCCAAAAACATCATGCGGATGTCATTGCTGTAATGTCGACGACAGCAAAAGTGAACCAACTAAACGTGAGGTCAGCACGATCCAAAACTGATGAACTTTGTTTGTTTTTTAACAGGTTTCAACCATTGTTTAATATTATAATGCTCACTGAAACTTGGTATAGCGATGACAGTGATTTTTTTGTTTTGCCAGGTAACGCCCATTTTTATTTGAACCGCAAACAAAACCGTGGCGGTGGTGTGTCCATTTTGATAGCGGACACTGGTTTCGAGATTGTACCCGAATTTTCTATGATTACAAACGACTACGAAGCATTATGCATACGCAAAAACCTTGAAGTGTATTGTGTTATCTACCGACCACCAAAGGGAAATGTATCCCAGTTCTTTGAATTTTTAGATAAGCTATTCACCGCTACCACTGAAGTGACGTGCAATTTCACCCTTGGCGGTGATCTAAATATTGATATGCTTGATGTATCGTGCAACCAGACTGAACTTTTATTATTGTTGTCCGCAAATAGTCTTCATAATGTAATATCTCATCCCACACGTATCACAACATCATGTTCTTCCATGCTCGACTTGTTTATCACAAATCATGAAAGCTCTGATATTACTGCTGGGGTGCTGTGTTCGGACCTAAATGATCATTTACCTATATTCATGCTGATTCATAAACAAAATCTGTCATCAAAAACTCAATCCAATAAGGCTCCTCCCCCGAGATATCTACAAGATATTAGCGAAAAAACACTGCAGGCATTTAGACGGAATATAGAGACAACAAACTGGAGCAGTATATTCGACATAGCTGATGTAAATCAAGCTTACGACAAATTTATCGAGGTTTTTAAAAATATTTATAGTCTTTCATTTCCAATAAAGCTACTTAAGAACAATAAACGTGCGCGCAAGCCATGGATTACTGGGGATCACTTAAAATCAATGCGTATCAGAGCTTGCTTATATAAAGATTTTTTAAAGACCCGAAACTTAGTTGTGCTTGCAAAATTTAAGACGTTGAGAAACCGTCTGAACGCAGATTTGAAGCGTTCAAAACGTAGCTACTACAACAATCTTTTTGACTTAGAATGTATGAAACACTCGGACTTAATTTGGAAGAGGCTTGGTGCTCTCTTAGCTAAAAAAACAGATTGTACTAAAATTGAATCTTTAAGTATTGATGGAATAGAAAAATCTGGTTCTGCACTTTCAGATGCTTTTAATCATTATTTTGTAAACGTTGGGTCAGGAACTTACTGTAGTGACGCAGGAAATAATATACCAAGAGTTTCTGAGACAATATTTTTTTATCCTGCCGATGAACACGAAGTTTATGCGGCGATGGCCAATTTACGCAACAGCAACAGTTGCGATGTTGATAACATAAATATTAAACCTGTTAAACTTGTCATAGATATCATTGCGCCTTGTTTAACACATATTTACAACCTTGCTCTGACATCAGGAATATTTCCCATGGGTATGCAGACCGCGAAAGTAATAGTATTGTTCAAGAAAGGAGATAGAAATTGCATAGGGAACTACCGACCTATTTCTATTCTTCCCATTTTCTCAAAAGGCCTCGAAAAAATTCTGCACACGCGAATTACAAATTTTTCAAATAAGCATAAACTCCTAACTGACTCTCAACTTGGTTTCAGGAAATTCAGGTCAACCGAGTGTGCACTCTTACACCAAAAAGAGATAATACTGGACAACTTAGAAGAAAAGTTGTCAACAGTCGGTATATTTTTAGATTTCAGTAAAGCGTTCGACTGTCTTGATCATGGTATTCTTTTAGATAAATTATATTTATATGGTTTTCGGGGTGTTTCTTTTTCTTTGTTAAAATCATATTTTCAAAGTCGTCGGCAATATGTTTCAATCAACGACCATATGTCCTCTTTGCAAGGTATTAATTCTGGTGTTCCCCAGGGAAGCATTCTGGGACCACTTCTATTTCTTTTTTATATTAACGATATTGTAACTATTGACCCTGATGTAAATTTTATAATTTACGCAGATGATACGAGTTACCAGAGCAAATATTGTTCTATCTAAATTAAAATGTTGGTGCGAACTTAACTCCCTCCATATAAATACTAATAAGAGCAAGGCTGTAATATTTCAACTACATTCTAGAACTCAAACAAATTTATTCTTTCCTTTCAAATATGGTTCTGATATTATTCATTGTGTTGAAAATGTCAAAACTCTGGGTGCATTTTTTT